GTGTTCCCAGTCCCAAGTTCTCTGTCCGCTGTTGTACGTCTTCCTGTGAACGTCTTCGTGTAAACGTCTTCCTGAGTTCGTCTCCCTTGGTTCCTTGGTGCAAATAAAGTCTTGTCAACATATTCTCCAGCGTCTCCTCGTCCCTCGTGTGTGTGTGCAACGTGACAACTACCAGTTATGGGTGTCATGCCATAAAATATTTTAATACGACTTTATATTTAATGTGAATTTAATAACAATATTGTAAGTTACTAATTATAATACTTCCATTTTACAGAGAGCAAAGAACATTTAGCACAGTCTAGCCAGAGGCACTCTCAAAAACTCCCATTAAAATCACTTAAGCTGTTTACACTGTGAAATGAATATCTTACATACATTCGTACGCACATCTGCACTTTGTTGTTTCTGATGAGAGCAGAACACCGCGTTTCAGCAATGACTCATCTGAACGCCTCTGATTGGTCATTGCATTCATAAGCTCAACAGAATCGTGTGTAATTGGTTATAATGCGCAGCACTGTAAAAACGCATCTGTCTCTGGCTCAGCGCCAGCCAGCGAATGCAGATTTGTATTTAGCAGCTGATGCTGTGCCGCACTGAACAATCTAATCACACCGGTGCGATTGTATCAAATATAAAAAAATATTATTCAGCTATTTTTGTCTTTTGGAAGTTGCATTCAAAATGCACTTGGCTCAGAAATCTGAAAATAAATCACTTTGAATGGGCTTGACGCCTCTGTTCCAAACGACTACATAATGGCACGCACGTGCCCTTCTCACTCCAAAGTCCCCACTCCAAGGGGATAGGGATGATCACTTCCATTTGGAATTTGCCCCGTGAACCGTTCGGTAACGATACACACCCCTATTCGCTAACAATAAACCGTTGTATATCAAGCTTCTTTTTACCCCAACTGAAGAATGAAAAATGTTTTGCTTGTAGTTTTGTAAAACTTTCCCACACTCTACTGGTTCGGCTGCACTCCGGCATGCTTTCATAAGCGCCGTGTGTGTCTTTGTCTATTGGATTGCATGCAGGAGGGCTGAATTTACAGTCTTGTGCTACAGCGCAAACTGTGTTATTGCAGGTCCTTACATTAGGTCACATGAGATTAAAGGACTATTCGACAACAAAAATATTTGTTATTGATAATTTTGACTAATCATTTCAGCCCCAAATGCATGGGTGAGACCAGGTTCTGTCTAGTTTCCTTAGGTATTTCTTCTATTAGGTCCAGGTATTCTGTGGCGGTGCTCTGTGCAGCGGAGATCTGTGGAGAGGAGGGGTGTTTAATTAACAATCTCACAGTGTTACTGTTGAGTGATAACCTCAAACCTATTCAGTGGGGTTCGTCAAGTGACAGAAAAGAAGAAAGATTGCATGAGCGTAGCCACTTAAAGTCAGCACAGGTCACACCTTCCCATTCTTCATTTTGAAAACCGGATATGAAAAGACCTTGAATGCTGGGAAACAGAGCTGTCCTGATGTTCAACCATAAAAATGTCTCTTCTTGATTAAAAAGCCAGCCAGCTCTCCATCTGTCCCTGATGGCACATGTGACCTTCCTGTTGTAATGTGTTCATAATGTGTAACGGTCTTGCTGATCGTCATCGTCAAGTTGATTTGCCATAAATCGTGAAGCAGAGTCATAGGCCAGTGTTTATGCAAATGAGAGTGAATGATTGAAAGGGGCTTTGTCAGATAGTAGCAAGACAGACTATGACATTAAGATCCAGAGAGAATTGCTTATTTTTCCTTATTATATACCAATGAATGGCCCTTTGCTCACTTGCATGACGTATGGTCAGTGTTGGGCAGTAACGCATTACTTAGTAACGTGTTACTGTAATTTGATAACTTTTTTAGTAACGGAGTAATTTAACGCGTTATAATTTTCTAAATAGTAATTACTAAATAGTAATTAGAGTATAGTTACAAGCCGAGGTCTCTATACGTTACTGCCACGTTACATTGCTGACAGAATGCAGTGTTTTATAATCTAGATATTGTAAAAAGGATGTAGCACACGCACTGTCGAGTCAAGTGCCAGTGGATTAGACACTTGCTCCCGCGAGACCCGACGCAACAGAGCGCGGCGCGGGACAAGATGGGCGAGTGCTGGTGCGAGTGGGTAGACACTCTTGTGTGTGCGGGATGCGGGAGAATAGGTGCAAGCGTATGCAGAGTTTCTATTTAGGCTATAAACACGTGTTTGCAGCGTTGAGCAATGCAGTGCTGAAATTTGCGTGCTCACGAATCCTCTCATTATAACACACGAATTGTAGACTTTATGAAAGATTCACTATGCATATATGTATTGTGTTATAACAGAGATTTGTGAGATTGCGATGAACAGAGATGTCTTTTAGAGATTATAAATGCAGCGCTCTTTGCTGGCATTCTGCCATGCCAAACCATGCACGCAGCAGCCGCTTGCTTTAGTTGAAAATAACAGTGTTCTGTGAATGTTGATGCTTTAATAACAAATATTTATTGGGAGCGTGTATGCTGGGATTTCATAAATTTCATGGAGAAAAAGTAACGTAACTAGTAATGTAACTAATTACTAATTACTTTTGAAATAAAGTAATCAGAACAGTAACGTGATTACTTTTAAAAGGAGTAACCAATAATCAGTAATTTGATTACATTTTCAGAGTAACTTGCCCAACGCTGCGTATGTAAGTTACTGTGTAACTTGCTATTTTGCAGCCAGTTTGATGCTTCTAATTCATTGATTTATAAATAAACACTACTGTTTTTAAAGTTTGAAGTTGATTTGGAGTAAGATTTTTTTATACTTTTGATAAGTCTCTTTTTATAAGTCTCTTGTGCTCACTAAGGCTGCATTTATTTGATCAAAAATGCAGTAAAAACGGTAATATTGTGAAATATTATTTAAATTTAAAGTAAATGTTTTCTATTTTAACGTTTAAAAATGTAATTTATTTCTGTGATGCAGAGCTGAATTTTCAGCATCATTACTCCAGTGTCACATGATCCTTCAGAAATCATTATAATATGCTGATTTGCTGCTGAAGAAAACATTGCTATCAATATTGAAAACAGTTGTGCTGCCTAATATTGCTGTAGAAACTGTGATACTTTTTTATCAATTTCCTTCAACAAAAAAAAAAAAGAAAGAAAAAAAATATATGACCCCAGACATTTGAACAGCAGTGTATAGCGTATCATGGTACTGACATGGTACATGTCCAACTTTACGGTACACAAATACATGGTAGTTTTTGGTACTTTTTGTTAGTAGATGTTTTGGTTTTGTAGTGCTTTAAATTAAAATGATAATTTTAATAAACAGTCTCAATTTAATTTACCAAGAAAACTTTAAGTAAGTTAATTCTCCTGAAAAGTATAGTCATTATGCCTCTTTTTGCACATCCAGTCTGGCCCAACACAACAACATTGGCTCAACCAATTGCATGAGTCTGAGGCGGGACAGTTTGTTTGTCCAGTGAGGAGCATCTTTAAAACCCTTTCAAAGTTCCAGTTCTGTTTGTTGATGTTCAAGGTGCAGATATAACACACTTATGCTTTTAATGATGTCACCTTGAAGATATGAGGCTATTCTGTCCCTGATAAATTTAACTGGGTGACTTTTGGAAAAGAAATAAAATGCCAGCCTTTGGCTTGTTTTGGTTAGTTTGTTCTAGGTACTTATAGGTGCACTAAGCAATTTTTGAAAAACGCTTTTGACCACAGTGTCGGACCGAGTCCCAAAATACACTTGTAGCCAATCAGCAGTAAGGGGGTGTGTCTTGTAATGATAGAGAGAAGAGAGCGCTCAATTTGAGTGCACAGACGGATATTATCAGATCGACTATAGATAGAGAGAATTGGAGGATAAAGAGGAAAATATCGGAGGAACAAAACATTAAAAAGAAGGGTTACGATCATGCAAAAGGTAGGATCCGTGTAAATATCGGAGCAGCTTTCCAGCGGTGGAGAGAACTCAAGGAGCGGGAAGGCCTGGAATCGGACGCCGAGGTTGCGTTGTTTCTTTTTGATAGGCGAGTAACGTTGATTTTGTTGCCATTTGTTTGAATATGCTTGTGTGTCATCTTCGCGTCCATGATTGTCGTTATGCCAGGGTTGTGGGGTGGAGATATCAAAATAGGGGCGAGGTCCTGTCGGGGTATGGGCGTGTTTGTTTTGGTACTTTCAAATATCAACAGCGTTTGGATCGCTTAGTGCACCTTTAAAGTCCGTGAAAAGGCGATTCAGAGAATTGTTTCTAAACACATTAGAAATGTATTGCTGAAACACATTACAAAGACTGTGAACTTTGCAATACTGAATTGTGGAGTTACACCGTTAAACCGCTTTTCACCATTTTTGTGTTCAGGATTTTTTGAGCGGGCCTGAAATCATGTGTTGGTGACGCACTGGAGCCACTGAGCATGGCCTCTCCCCTAACACTATAAAGAGGTGTGTTTGACTTGAAGCAGCGCTGTGCAGACCAATCGGTGTGTGACATCAAAGTACAGTGAGAGCTTTAGAGAGCAGACGCTCCTTACGCTTTCAGATCGGTTTCACAGTACTTTGTTGTCATACACCGATCAGTCTGCGCAGCACTGCTTCAAGCTGAACACGCCTAATACCTAGAGCGCATTAGCATCAGTGGTTCACCGCTCAATCGCAAGTTCCAGTCATTACTGTCGGTTACAGTCGTCACCGATAGCCTCGTGGGCAGCGCGTCGACATCTAGCGCCATTGCGCTTCAGGTGTCCCGTGTTTGAGTCCCGGCTCGCGGACCTTTCCCGATCCGCTGTGCACTATTTGCATGTCTCCATCTGTCTCTCTCTCTCTCTGTCACTCTCTTCCTCTCTTTATCCGTGCATATGTCACCTTGTTTTGTCATACAATAAAATTTGACATTATTCGGCTATATGGAGCCACAGACAATAAATCTGCCAACAGATTAGGCGTTTTAGGAGGTGACCTCTACCTCTCCTTGGTTCTCCCTCTCATCCCAGGGTTCCACCACAGTCTTCCGTCCTCTCCGTACACCTCGTCTGGGCCGGAGGGTCACAGACTGGCAGCGTCCGGAGCACTGTCCTCGGAGTTCCTGAACCAGGCCGATGGGATGGTGAAGATCTTGCTGTTGGTGTGTAATGCAGCCGGAGCAGGACAGCAGGCAGTGAGGTACCCTAAAAAATGCTGCATTTTTTGACAGTTTTTTGTCTTTTGGTGAACAAATAAGGGCTGTTAATCGATTAAACTATTTAATCACGATTAATCGAATGATTGTCATGAGTTAACTCGTGATTAATTGCAACTTAATCGCACATTTTTATCTGTTCTAAATGTACCTTAAATTAATACTTTTCAAGTTTTTAATACTCTAATCAACATGGGTTGATATGGATGCTTTATGTAAATGTATGTTTATTATTAGTGAAACCATACTCAACATAGAGCATAAAGAATTCAGATACAGGTTTTCACAAAAACAAAAAGTTTTTAAAATCATTTTTAAGAAATTGAATCAAAAGTATCAATTATTATATTAATTTAAACAATTATTATATTAATTAAATACCATATAACTATATTTTACTGGCTTAATTGTTTAGATTTTTTATAATGCATTATCTTCTTATCGATCTACTAGTTCACATTTACAAATGTGTGTTTGCTGCATAAAAACATGGATGTTCGCAATGGTCTGAACAAAAACAGGACTTATTGAAAATGCAAATTCATTCTCTGCCAGCAGATGGCACTTTCGGAACAGCAGAAATATAGAGGTTTCTCAGACTGTAAACAAAGCAGCACAGCAGCGGACTTTGAAACGTGCAATGCACATATTTATTCAATTAAATCATCGCCTTTTAAAGTTTAATCTTCACATTAAGCCATATCGCAATTCTTGTCTTTCCCTCTCCAAATTTAAGACCTCTTGAAATCATAATTAAGACTTTCTTGTACCATTTAAGACTTTTTATGGCCTTCAATATGATACAATTAAATTTAAGACCTCTTAAGACTTTTTAAGGACCCGCGGGAACCCTGAAACAGAAAATGTGCGCTGCATTAATCGCGCATTAATAAAATTAGTGCCGTTAAAAATTAATTTGCATGAATGTTAGCCCTAGAAAAAATCATTTAAACTTTGTCAATGTTTTGCCATGTCATATTCATTCATATTTGTCAAGTTTATTCAGACTAAAATGGCAACTAATTTTAGTCAAAAGAAATAACATTTTAGTTGACAAGAATTAATTTTAGTTGCAAAATTAAACCAAATACTTATCTATTCATTTAAACATGTATCCTCATATATGAAAACTCCTGAAATAACATATTAGTGAAACTATTATAATACAATGTTGTGAAACATTTAGTTATTTGTACATCTTTAAGTTGTTACAGAAAGACCGTATTCATAACTCATTCTAAGCCATAACTTAGTTCAAGTTCACTTGTACTTTTTTGTCATTTTGTGCAGATGTAAGATGTAAAATTACGTTTATATTGTGTATACAGTTCAGTTTACTGTCATTCAAGTATGTCTATTGCCAGCATTATTAACTCTGACTGGATTATTTGAAAATTTTCTACAATATTCTACTTCATAAACATATTCACATATGGTTCAATATCTTGCGTTGTTCTTTTTTTCTCGTCATAATGTTAAAAATATTGAAAAATATATTTATATTTTATATAGATATATTATAAAATATATATTTATATTATATTATACAATAAACTAAAATAATATATTATATTTATACAGTACCGTTGAAAAGTTTAGGGTCGTGAAGATTTTTAAATGTTTTTTTTAAAGTGTCTAATGCTCACCAAGGCTGCATTTATTTGATCAAAAATACAGTAAAAACAGTAATATTCTAAAATATTAATACACTGTAAAATCACTGTTTGAATATATTATAAAATGTAATTTATTCCTGTGATGCAAAGCTGAATTTTCAGCGTCATTACTCCAGTCTTCAGTGTCACATGATCCTTCAGAAATCATTATAATATGCTGATTTGCTGCTCAAGAAACAATTTCTTAATATTATCAATGTTGAAAACAGTCGTGCTGCTTAATATTTTTGTGTAAACTGTGATACATTTTTTTCCAGGATATTTTGATGAATAGAAAGTTGGGGAAAAAAACAGGATTTATTTGAAATATACATTTTTGTAAGATTATTAATGTCTTTACTGTCACTTTTGATCATTTTAATGCATCCTTGCTGAATAAAAGTGTTCATTCCTTTAAAAAACAGGAGGGGAAAAACTGACTAGATTATCACTATATGGAGATTAGCCAATCGTAACAAAGTTTATTTACAAAAATAAATTTTAAAGGTTTAATTTCAAGGGTCACAAAGGGTGAAAATGATCTGAACTAGCATTAAAAGTGGACTTCAGAGAACAAAAACATGCCTCTTTATGCCACGTAAAGCTGGCAGGTATCAATCGTGACAACTTTACACTTTACACCTCACCTTTTCACTTTTGCTCTAAAAGCTTCTCACAGATTCTTTGACGTTTGTCACATCAGAGCGATCCTTCAGACACACAGTGACAGTGACAATCGCTCAGAGATCAATACTCTCTTAGGTGTGAATGCCTCCAGAAATCTAATTTCATTCCATGGCTTTTTGTAATGTGAGTTTCTCCCTCACTTTAAAGGATGTCATAGAGAGAACGAGAGAGAGCAAGGCTCAGAACATATGTTCGTCTCTTACAGATGAACTAGAGTGAGTACATGTCATTTTGAAGGCAGTGATAGTTTGATTGATTTTCTCCAGATACTGATAAAAGTGATATTCCTATCACTGCAAAGTTAGAGTGTGGAAAGGACTAGATCTGACATACAGCTGTAGTCATGAGTTCATTAATTGGGAATGTTTGAATATAGAAACTTACAATGAGACTAGGCAGATGTCATAACAAGGCCGTAACCATATCTTAAACATTGGTATATAAAGTACATTTTTGTATATATTTTTAACTAGGGGAGATTTAAGGGAATAACTTAATTAAATTAATTCAAATTAAATAAATAAAAATAGTAAAAGAACTACAATGTATTGTAATGCATTTGAACTATTTGCAAATAATATTTTAATTTTAAAATATGCACACATTCACTCTTAATCATATGCCTAGCATGTCAGAAATATTTCTGTTAATGTTTCTTGTCCCGCCACATTCAAAATACATTACATGAATCATGTAAATGATGAAGGGTATTTTCGATTAGAAATGTTGCCATGGCAATTAACAGCAATAAAATGAGTTCAAATTAAATAAAAAAAAACAAAAACTAATAAAAATTACAAAAGCACATCATTACTAAAACTAAAATGAAAATAAAAACTGAAAATATAAAAATGAACACTAATTCAAAATATTAATAAATGCTATAATAGTATATAAATCATATTAAAATAACACTTTTTAGGAAGTATTATCATTAAGATGGATAAACTATATTTTCTAATCGATGCAATTAGCAGTTGGGCACTTGTATAGACAGGAAGCACTGCAGAGTTCACATTAAAAAAAATGGATTATAGAAAGAATATCAGGTTCCCTATGGAGTTTTCTACCCCAGAGGACTTTACTGTCATTTTAAGATCATCACAGGAGCAGGTATATTGCAGGAAAACATTCTTTTGATGTTTAGAGTGTGCAACATCAAACATAGTGGAAAAGTCAGCAAAGAGTTTCTCAGTTGTGTCCACATTGATTTTGTTTGTTGCTAGTTGCTGGTTGTAGGCTTATAGTAGCAATTTCAGCATGTCCATCTTTAAAGTCAACATAAAATCTAAATTTACCCTATTAAATTGATTGGATACATTTTTGATCTTATTGTGCATGATTTTTCAGTGTATGTTATTCCAAAGAATATCGAAAAAATATTTATCTTTGTAATCTTTAATCAATACGTGATGTCTTTCTATCCTACTTTCCTTTCCAGCTGACTTAACTTAGGCCAAAAGGGGTTAAATAATGTTCACCCAGAACAAAATAGCTATTTAGTCATTGTTTGGGGCTATTAAAATCTTGCCTATATGTAATGCAGTCATTTAATAACAATTACCATAATGCACTAATAGCAAATAGTGATGCATTTGAAAAAGGACCATTTATTTGAGACTATTGCAATAAGATGCTGTCAAAGGTGAATTTGACCTCTCAAAACTGTCCTCACCACCTTACTGAAGTGAAATTGTTTGCAAATGCTGTTTTATGATCATTTTTATCTATTTTTTATGTCCAGAATATGTTTAAACTGTGTGGTGTCAAGCATAGTTAGATAGATGGACGGACAGACACTTTATTGCTTTATAATTTGGTGAAACCTCCCCGTGTTGTTGCCTGGGGCGAGATGTGTGATGTTAACAGCATCAAAGCATGTTTGTTCAGATCTCAGTTCTCTCTCTGCCTCCTGTCAGGGAAAACTCCACTGTTGTTTTTGGCTGAGGCGAAACCCCAACACAATTACGTGTTTATCGCATTCTGAAAGGCTTGCTTTCCCTCAGCTCACTTTTGTTTGTTTTGTCTCCTTTATTCATGCTGTACAAGTCCTGTAGCAGAAATCTGGAAACTTAATCACTAGCCTCCTGCCGCAAAAAAAAAAAACACTAAACTATAAAGGGTGGGGTGGATTTCAAGGGCACTGCTGAGTACACTGGAACATAGTGTCCAAACACAGGCAGTAATTTATCTGACAAACATGCACATCAAAATGTGACCCAGTGTTTACATATGAATCTCATGTGATTTCAGGTAGTGACTAAGGTCTTTGCAGTTGTGTATCTTTAACCTTTTTAGGCCAAGAACCCCATGGTGGAAGGAGAGATTGTGCAAGACCCCTGTTTCGTATTATTTAAAACTGATTGTTGTTTTTTAATCCTTGTCGATAATAACATGAGTTCCATAACATGTATCCAAATACTTTTAAGCTAACATTGCAAAGCTGTTTTATGTAATTTAAATGGTTTAATGTGGGAGGGACAATGTAAGATTTAGCTGAACTGTAGCGTTTTTAACGTTGGTTGAGGTTAACTCAGTACAAGGTTACTATAGTTAACTAAAACTGCAATACTAAAAAATAAATGTTAACTGAAACAAAATATAATGAAAAAAATTTACTTTATTTCAGGCAACATTTCTCATTTGTATTTAGTTTAACTTGATGTACTAAAAGCTAAAATTAAAATGAATAATAATCTGTACAGACATATTTAAAAAAAAACGAATAAAAATGACAAAAACTTTATTTAAATTACTAAAACTTTAATTGAAAATTAAATAAAAATAAAAACTACTATTATTAAAACTATAATAGAATCTCAGTGATACTAAAATAATATTAAATTCTATTTTAATTTTTAGGTCAACCTGTGTTCAATGAACAGTATAGTTTTTTTCTTAGGCAATAATGGAAATGTTCAATAGCTTTTTGTCATCAAAATGTTAAGATATATGTCTATATAGAAACTTGACTGTCAAAAATAAACCTATCCCGTAAAAGATTCACTGAAGTAAAAAGTGTGACAACTAGCCCCGGTCTCCCATGTATCACGTGTATTTAAATAATAATACAGTTTATTTTATAAAGGACATTTAAAAGGACCTCTCATGGTGCTTTATAAACATTGAAACATAATGCATAAAACAATATATAAGCATGCAAAAAAACAACAAAAAAAAAACATCAACATCATCCATATTAACACACTAATCTGATATCTGTTTATCTGCAGATTCGGTCCTCCATTTCTGATGAGAGAGGACAGGTCAGTGTCGTGGGACCAGCTACAGCAGAGCATCCTCAGTAAACTCTACTATCTAATGATCAATGGATCACAGGCACATGTAAGATCAACTGCCATACTTGACTGAGGTTATAGTTAAGCCATAGTTAATTTAGCTGATGGAGAGTTTAGCTGTAAATACAAGCTATGGATGCAAGAAAATACAAAATATGTGCAAACTTTGAACAGTCAGTCCCACCAAAGACAATCACAATTCAAGATCTTTAGGTTTCAAAGTAAAGTCTCTCACAAAATTCCATCACTATCTCTAAAACATCTGCTTCCTTCCTCTTACATTCTTGTAGTCATTCCTGTTGCTTTTCAGCGGTTGATTGGTTCCCCCTGCTGTGTGTTTTTAGACACACCAGCCAGAATAAAACAGTGTCAGTCCGCATCAAGGGTGTCTTTTAGTAAGCGTCTATGGACCCCTGTGGGTCCATAAAAGTACTACAGAGGGCCTGCAAACAGATATACAGATATATATAGTTTGGGGTCAGTAAGTCAGTCAGTTTTTATGCATCAAGGTTGACTTAAATTGATTAAAAGTGACAGTAAAGACATTTACATTGTTACGAAAGATTTCAAATAAATGAACTTTTGAACTTCCTATTCATCAAAGAATCCTGTATCACGGTTTACACAAAAATATTAATCAGCACGGCTATTTTCAACATTGGTAATAATAAGAAATGTTTATTTAGCACCAAAGTATGTTTTCTGAAGGATCATGTGACAGTGAAGACTAAGCAATGGCTGCTGAAAAATTCAGCTTTGCATCACATGAATAAATTACATTTGAAGATATATTCAAATAGAAGACAGTATTTTAAATTGTATGTATGTATATATGTATATAAGCATCACTGTTATAATTTATTTTGTTGCTTAGTGTTGTCAGTTTTAAATATGATTGAAAGAAACACCCTCTTATATAATCTTGATATTTCTAACTAGTTAACAATATTGCAATCACAATGCCAATATTGAAGTATTAGTGTAATTGCACAAGCAACTGCTCAATGTTTTATGCTTCTTTGGTCTTTTTCTACTAACATCTCCATGTTTTTAATTTCAGAGTTTCAGGGTGTTGTTCAAGATTCGTGTTGTTGGGGGATCTGTAGCTTATAGCTACTTAAATCCCCAAGACGGACGGCCACTTTATCACCCTGCAGTGGACAGGTAGTATTGTGTGTGTGTGTGTGTGTGTGTGTTCATACAGACATGGATTAGAACAGAATATACATTTTATATATAAATCTTTCTCAGAGGTGCCAGTACCGGCAATCCAGTTCAGAGGATGTTTTCTAACAAAACAGACTCTAAAATAAACAGTTACATTTTTATTAAACATTTTATAAATTAAACAAACATTCAATATAACTTTATTCATTATTCATAGTTAGCAATGCTTAATAATTCATACTGTATTTACAGGTAGAGGCATCAGAGAAGCTACTGAATTTATGATAATTTTTTTTTATCCTAAACATCAAAAGAAACCTCTGAGTGGCCGCCAACATTTATCACCCTCATAAAATTTCTACAGCCCCTGAGGAGCCTTTCAAAGCACACAGGGTTAAATGATGTCCTCAACCCTCGAAACCTTCAAATATTGACACTAATCTCATAATCATCTTAACGCATTCCTGCACATCTTCCTGCTGACATTCTCTTCATGATTCTCTTGTTCATATTCTAGATGTGCTGCAGTTACAGGTTGATCAGGATTGGAGAGTATTATCCTTACGTTTTGTAATATGTCATATTTTACCATTTTGTAGTAACTGTGGTGGGTTTGTTCTTAATAATTTCACAACAGTGGTGTTTGATAAGGTAGCTTATTACACGGCACTCTGGAATACTCGATTCGGATTGGAATCAATATTCCGTGATTCCGTTATTCCCCAATAACAACCACTGCATTAGCAACATGGTCATTAACATACCGTTTATCCAGGTATTTGGGACCTGCGCTTTCATTCAAATACATTTTGTGCCTCAGTTATCAACTGTATTTACTGTAAAATGAAACTGGGGGACTTCAGTATTAACAGTCTTGTTGTCAGAACACTGTAATGGATTAAAGATAATAAACACGTAAAATTGTAAAGGTAAAAGAAGTTTCTTCTCAAATAACATTTCATGTCCTCGTCATTATTTATGTGGTTAAAAGCAGTGTAATTAGTAATACGACTGTACATTATGCCTTAAACGTCCATCTTCTCTGTACTTCATCTATGCAAAGCCGTTTGCAAGGAACTGTTTTTCTTCATACATGGTCATGGTCATGCAGTGGCTTTCTAACTTTTCCTGAGAATGTACTGGGTATTGAGTATTTTTTAAAACCTCTAAATGTGTATGTCTGCGTGTATATTTGTGTATGTGTGAGAAGCTCTTTTAACACAATCCCTTTGGCTTGGTCTTTATCTCCTCAGAGCTCTAAAGCTGTGCGGCTCAGGTGGGCCGCCGCATGTGAAGCTAATTGTTGAGTGGGAGCACAGAATCAAAGACTGGTAATGCAATCTTTCACTTCCTTTTGAGTATGTGTGAAAATACAGAACATTCCATCCACACTTCGTTTTAAAGCACATCGAGACAGCAATACAAGCGTGACGGTTCAATGACCTGGTGTTACTGTGTGTCTGTGTGCAGCCTGTTTGGTAACATCCAAGAGGAGGTGGTGAAGGACTCGGAAAGTGTTCGTGCTCAACAACAACACCACGTTCAACAGCACAGCTGCACCCTGGATGAGTGCTGTGAGCTCTACACTAAAGAAGAACAAGTAACTCACACAAAATCACATTTAGTACTGAATATTAGCAGCTGAATGCCACAGGAAATCACAACCCAGCTTAAACTGAGTGCAAGGGCAATATTGCATTTATATAATGTTATACAATAAAAAATACCAATGAATAGTAAAACATTCCAGTGAAAATGTGTAGTTAAAAGAAATATAAAAATATTTTTTTAATATTCTGTAATTTGTACATTTTGAAATGTTCGTTTATTAATTATAAACATTTTATTATAATTATACAGTATTATTATTATCCTAAATTATAAGATACCATTATTATTTGGTTAAGGTTTTTATTATAATTAATTATAAGATTTTATAATTAAAATATAGTATTATTAATTATATATTATTATTAAATGTATTATAGGTTGTATTATTTTAATCATTTAAGTTATTTTAATAATAATTTAAATGTTCAATTTTAAATTTAATTTCAACTGTTTTTAGTCAAATAAATAATAGAATTTAATTAAAATAATTAGCAATTAGCAGCTATTCCATTAGCATATTTGTAGATTATTTTACTAAATTGCTATTAATTTTATTAAAAGCAATTTAGTAAAATATAACTACATTTTATTAATTTGCTTTAGTTATTTTACTAATTGCTTCAGAGATGGCTTTAGCCTTAATGACCTTTTCCTTATGCATTTTACAAAAATTATGTGACATTTCTTGGAAATCAGGAAATACACGCATTGTTCTCCCTCTTGTTATTCATAAAAGTAAGTGTGTAAAGCTTTTTAACCAACTTTCATAATTTCAGATAAACATGCATAACAGCTGAGACCTGGAAATTTTCTGAAACACAATATTGTGATGATTGTGATGTTCCCCTTTCATTCTGTGACAGTCGCTCTAGTGCAGCAGGAGTTTCTATTTGAAAGAGGACAAATCACTCTGGTTACTTTCGTAACCTCGGTTCCCTAAGATAAGGGAATGAGCATTGCGTTGTACGCTTATGGGGTAAATGCCTGTTTACTCTGATACTGAAGACTGATTTGTTCACATTCATGTAAATGGCGCTTCAACCTGCCAAAAGGGGTCGAGCCAACTGCTATATAATAGGGCTGGGTTTTGACACAAATTTCACAATTCGATTCGATTATCCTTCACAAGCTTGCGATTCGATTCGATTTCATTTCGATTCAAAAATCAATATTGATTATTTTGGATATATATCATGTACAGGTCATGGCAAATTTTCTCAAGGAAAAAAAAAGGTTGAAATTTGTTGATTTATATACAAACACTTAAAATATGCTTAAAGTTTTTGTAATATTAAAGTTATAATACTAACTTTAACTTTAAATTACATAATTATATTTCTACTCCAATTCGCTTTTTGAAATATAAACATTAAAATTGTGGTTGTCACAAAAACTTGACGAATTTATTCAAACATAAATTAAATATTGAAGAACAGTAAAAAACATTATAGTGAATATGTTATATGGTGCATATTTAGCAAAATGCTCCTCTATAGAGTTCATTTTTCTAGCTGACTAATGAGTTCATGGTCACCGAATATTTTTCTGAGATCAATATGACGTTATGTGAAACATTGTTTACAAGCTATTGTCATCTTTCCACATTTGAAACACTGATTGAGCGATTACATGAGACAAGATACGGATTTCGGTAAGTTGTACTCTTTCTTTAAACACCTTCGGATGTTCATTCATGTTTATTTCATGCTGTAACTGCTATTAAAGCGGAGGAGACAATCAGTTCACAGCGATCTGTCACTCCACATCAAACAGCACCAAAATGGCATTTAATATTTGAATATTGTAATAAAATGGACAGAATTTTAAATCTGAGACTTTGGTTCATATCAAAATTAACAAATCACAAAACTTATAGCAATTTATTGGATACGAGGCGTGCTACAATGTTCAGTTCATTATCTGACAGGTTAGACTAATCGATTCTCGGGATTTATGAATCGATATATTTTCATAAAAATGAGAATCAATTAAAATCAAGAAATCATATTTTTTACCCCTACTGTAACGGGGCTGACGAGACGTGAGACGTGTGGATCCATCTGCAAGCTTTATTAAAGAGACGTGGTAAACAGGCAGGGTCAAACAATGGCAAACAGGTATATGGCGGGCAAAACACAAGAATAGTCCCAGGGCTAGCGTAGGTCACCGATCGGCAGACAGAATCACAGGGGCGAGACGAGAGGGAAAAATCCAGGAAAACAGGCAAAGATCAGAAACCGCGAAAACAGGCAAGGCAAGGCAAAAACAAGGAAAACTCAGAGACTCGGAATGGGGTACGGGCTAAACAATACTCAGCAGAGAAAGGTGGTTAGAGTGGGTGTTATATAGTGAGTGAGGTGATTCGAAACAGCTGTGTGCAATGAGTGCAATCAGTGCAGTGTGCAAATCGTGCAAAGAATGATGGGATATGTAGTCCGGGGTGCTATGCAACAGTTTGTGTTGTGCGAGAGTCAATGTAATGGAAAGGGTGACCTCTGGTGGTGAATAAACGGAAGTCCATGGACCGAATTCGTGACACCTACTATATAAGTCGGTTTAGAGTGCGATTCATCAGAATCTTTCAACTGATAGCGACAGTCATAGACTTGTGTGCAGCCTTATAGCAACAGCAGCTTACGCAATACTCGTCCTTTATCTTTCAAACGGTCTCTCCCATTGCGTTGTGCACTTAGGGGGAATGCATCCAATAATGCCATGCTATAAGCAAGTGCAGAACGAAGCCACTCTGCGAGCCCAGCCCCGGAGCGCCCGTAATGAGGGCTCCTAAAAAAGCATGAGCCAAATATGAGACCCAAGGTTATAAAATCTGGTGAATGTAGACAGTGAAGACCAGCCAGCTGCCGCACAGATATCACCAATTAAAACTCCCCTGGACCAAGCCCAGGAGGAGGCCATTCCTCTGATGGAGTGGGCCCTCACGCCAATATTACACTGTAAGCTCTCTGAGGTGTAAGCCAGGGCTATAGCATCAACTATCCAACTATCTCTGCTTCGTAACCGGCAGCCATTTAGAGCGGCCTCCAAAGCATACACAGAGCTGCTCTGAGTGACGAAACGGGCCAGAGAGCACAACATACACTCTAAGAGCCCGAACCGGGCAGAGTGGATTCCTCTGAATTAGGAACGGCTAGCAGGGTAATGACTTGTGCTCTGAATGGAGTGGAGAGCACTTTAGGCACATAGCATGAAGCACTGATTGACAGTGCTTGCAAGTCGCCCACTCTATGCACTTTTGAGTATGTGTGTCCGCTATCACAGAGGTAATTTTGTTGGGCACGCACTGAAAGGCAGTTCCAATTTGAACAGAGCTTCCATCGCCCAGAGCTAGGGAGGGAGATGGAGAGCGTACACAAGCTTTCTTTGAGGGCATTCAAGCCTCGGTGGGACCAGCATTACTCCGGGACAGGGTCCCTGGTGCTTAGGAAACAGGTAGTGTTTCGCCACCTGAAGGTGCTGTGTCATTGATGGCACGGGCTTAGCAGGCTGCTGAAAGGATGGAGCCTTCTGGTGAATTGAAGCATCTGCCAAACTGGAGCGCCTCGGCAGGAAGTAACGCATAGCCTGCGATGACTTCTGTGCCGCTGTGAAGCGTTCAGCAAATCCATCCATAGCCGGACCAAATAATCCTATGCAGGAAACTAGGGAGTCGAGGAAGGCGACCTTGTCATCGTCCTTGATCTCCGTTAAATTAAACCAAAGGTGACGCTCCAGCACCACCAAGTTGACCATGGCCTTGCCGATTGCCTGTGCTGTTGCCTTTATTTCGCGCAGAGCCAGATCAGTTGCTGTGGGCAGATCCTTAAAGGCGTCAGATTCAGAGCAGGATTTATTCATGGAGCGGAGAAGTTTGGCTTGGAAAACTTGGAGCACCGCCATCGTGTCCATTCAATAGGCCCTGCCCACGATGCAGGTTCCTGCAGGGCTTATGGATGCGTTGCATGTGCCTTCAATCCTAGGGCTGATGGAGGGCGGAGATGAGCAGCGACCACCTCTTCCAGAGGGGGGAAGCTTGCCATAACCTTTCTCTTCAGTGTCGTTAACGGAGATGAGGTCGGCAGAAGTAGCAGTGTGAGGGGCACTGATACTATCGTGAGAATAACACTGGTGAATCAAAGTGCTGTGGGGGGAGTGAAGCACATGGGACCTGTGTCAGCGTGAGATCACTCAAATCTGGGAAATCCATTCCTCTGCACCGCTGTTTCTTCCACAGAGTCTCCTGGGAGGGGAGACACGAGGGAGCAGATGAGGGAGGACCGACCTTCATTAAAGGAGGCTATACGTGACCGAAGCAGGGCAAGACTCATGCTCTCACAGTGAGAGCAATCCGTCTCGGTGAGCGTTGCCTTGGCGTGGGTGCTGCCCAGGCACACGACACACTCACTGTGCCCATCTGAGCCACACTTGCAGTGCGACATTTGAAACAATGCCGCTAAAGAAATTGCTTTTAGGAAGTGCTCTTTTCAGTCACCGGATGGAAGCGCTGTTAGAGGCATCCTTCCTCTGCATCTTCGTGCTGAAGGAGAAAAATTCTGATGAATGATGCTCTGAACCGACTTATATAGCAGTCGGTTCCACCCCTTTTGGCGGGTTGAAGTGCCATTTGTTCATGCAGCTACACGAACGTGAACAAATCTCGCTTCAGTATCAGAGTAAACAGGAGTTTACTGGAGTAATGATGCTGAAAATTCAGCTTTACATCACAGGAATAAATTACACTTTAAAATACATTTATACAGAAAACAGTTATTTTAAATTGTAATAATATATCATAGTATTACTTTTTTTATAATAAATAGCAGTATTTTTGACTAATTGCAGCCTTGGTGAGACTCCTTTAAAAAAAAAAACTATTTAAAAAGCTTTTTTTTTAATCTTACCAGCAGCAAACTTTTGAATTGTAGTTTAAATGCAAATGAAATTAAATAATGTCATCATTTATATATTTTATATTACAAAAAAAAAAGTTCAGACTTTTTCTCTTTTTGAAAGTCGTGAAGCTCTTTTCTGTTTATTTCCTTTCATTTAATTAATGCGAGCTGTTCAAAAAGAATGCAATGTGATCAATTCTAATCTTTCAGGACCATTTATTTAGACCAAAAAGCACTCATGTAAAGTTTCCTTGAGTTGTATATCCTAATTTTTCATCCACGTTTACTTAGTTGGCCCCTGACGATGCATGGAAGTGTCCTCACTGTAAGCAGCTGCAGCAGGGCATGGTGCAGATGAGCTTGTGGACCCTCCCAAACATCCTCATCCTTCACCTCAAACGATTCCGACAGGTGGGAGAGCGCCGTAACAAGCTCTCCACGCTGGTACACTTCCCCCTCACTGGCCTCGATATGGGCCGCCACATGGTCAAGAGGAGCAACTGTGCCCGTCCACCACCCGGCTGGAAACAACAGGCCCATCACCGGCCCGAAGCCAGCCGACACACACTGAACTTCCTGTACGACCTGTACGCCGTGTGTAACCATCATGGAGGCATGCATGGAGGCCATTACACAGGTGTGTGAGCGAAGGAGAAATGAGAAATTATGTATAGCCTTCCTGTAGCTTAAAGGGATAGTTCACCCAAAATGTTTAATTTGCTTTTAATTTACTCACTCTCAGGCCAACCAAGATGTAGTTTACTTGTTTCTTCAGTAGAACAGTAAAGAAGATTTTTAGCTGAATCCGTGGTGCTTGGTGATTCATAAGATGCAAGGCAATGGCTGCCTACACTCTGAGAGTCAAAAAAGCATATACAGGCAAGATAAAATTAATACCCGTGACTAGGGCTAGGCGATATAGCTAAAAAAATTGATCAAAGATATAATGTTTCATATCGTTCGGTATCGATAATTATTGACATTTTTTTTTTACCTTTTTTAAAACAAAAAGCAATAGAATTTTTTTTTTTATTTAACCACTGTATTTATAATTAACACAATTTATTGAGACAAACAACAAATATTTTTTGTTTTAACAATCAAGCACAATCAAAATTAAACAGATATCTAATTTCTAATGTTTTATATGCAGATTAAATAGGTCTTTATTGTATAGGTCTAATTGTCTCCCGAGGCCACAGGAGGGCGCAATGAGCAAAATAATGCAGCGCATTTAAATTGTCAAGGCAAGGATGTAACTCTATAAAAACGTGCATTACATCTAAATTAACACATAAAAATCTAATATAATTTCGTAAATTGCATAAACAATTATGAACAAAACAGCATCATGTATTTATGCATTGCTTAATCCAAAGAGCCGAAGCGCCCATCACGCAGATTGCATTTAAAAACATATGAGATGCAGTGAAAAGGAATAAACCTCCACAAATTCGTGACGTGTTTTCTAAAAGTTTAAACTGTTTTAACTTTGCATGGCTACATCTCGTGTGAGATGCGAGTGCAGCAGTCATATTTGTCCATCTGAAAAATGCACTGAATATGCGTTCTGTGTGAATGGCTTGGTTTCGGTTTTAACCCATTCAAGATCTTCTCCGCATTGAGCTTCTATATTTCTCTAATATTTTGAATGAATAACGCAGCAGCGGCACGTCTCGTGGGCTAGACTAACAAAACATTAAAATGCAACAACGTCACTTATATCATCACTGCATCTCGCGCGCCACTGATAACGCTCCCTGACGCACACCTAACATTCAAATGCAAATGTTTATTTTAAATTCGACTAATAATAATTTTTTATTCACAATCTCCTCATCATAGGCAGGCACAGCACTCATTTCAGCATGTGTTTGTGTGTGCTGTCTGCGTCACTCATAGTACGTGCCTATATCGTGCGCTATATCGAACAATTTTTCAATCGATATCGAAGAAGGTGTACCGTCGATAAATATCGATACCGTTTTATCGCCCAGGTCTACCCGTGACTCCTGACGACATACTGAGGCCTTATGAAGCGAAATGATTGGCCTGTACAAGAAACTGAACATTATTTGTAACATTATTACCTGTATCTGTAATGCAATAGAGGTCACTTTTGATAAAAGCGCCTTCCAAATGCATATATGTAAACGCAAATATGTTAACAAGATTTAATTTGTGCCTTTTAGGAGAAAAAGATTAGAAAAAAATATATGTAACTGAAAAATAAATACTACTACTACTACTAAATCACAAACATAACAAAAACATCTGAGCAACAAAAATTAGGGAAGCACTGATATTAAAATTTTGGTTGATAAAAAAAATGTCCAATAATAATTTTCATATTATTATTTTGTGTATACTATTCTGTCTAAATAAATTAAAAATAAACTAAAATTTCAAAAATAAAACAAAAATTGCTTTAAAAATAGTTTAAACTAAAATAAATTGTTAAAAGCTAAAGATTACGTTTAACAGTGCTCTTAAATTATTAATGTTTTTTAAAGATCAAATTTAAATGAGCATTAGAGGATTGCAAAATTAATCTAAATGTAAAGCTGAGCATGTACAATAAACATCCAATAACAACTGATACTTTCTAAATTCCTATCACTAATATCACTGATATCTGAAATGGTACTGATATATTATGCATCCTTAAAAAAATTCCCTTTGAGCCCCTCTACTGATCACATGCGTCCTATACGATAAGGGTGTTTTGCAGTGCTGCACATGGTGGGATCTCAGCCGGATTTATGGGATTATAATGAGGAAAGAACACTTGAAAATCCTTCAGAAATACACCATCCCTTCTAGATCCAGAGTGGATTCACATTTCAGTGAAATAATGTCCCCAAATATTTGTCAGAGTCCCGAGCAGCTATTTCAAGCAAGAAGCTTGCATCAGATTGTACAAGGCAATGCTCTGGTCACTTCAGTCCATTGGCAACCGAAGCACAAAGTTAAAAGGTGATGGGGAAAAAGGCGGCCAAGCGACATGAGGCAGCTCATGATGTTCACCCAGGAGGAAAGAGGAAATATTCCAGCTTCGTTTCTGCGCAAGCTGATGGACAGAATGGCCAGAATTGACCAAATATAGTAGCTGTCAGGAAAGGAAACTTTGATGAAGCTGAATTATCTTATACTTCAAAGTACAAGCCGAAATATTAACTATTTTATGTGAGAATTATGTGCTAAATAATTACACTGCAACCCCTGTTTCTTAATTATTAATATCACTATGAAAAAAACATCATAAGACTGAGAGTAGTTTATTTTTCTTACCTCAGTGTCAAACTGTCTATTCTAGTTTTTAAGCATCAAAATCATGCTTATGCAATTTAATCTTTTGACAATTTGCTATGCAAAATTTATTTTGTTTAGATATTTTCATGGAAAGCAAGACAAAAAATTATGATGATTAAATAAGATGTTTTGAATTTAATTAAATTTTTTAATATATATATATATATATATATATATATATATTTGCAGTGTAAATACTTTTTGTATGCGTGCATAAATGTAAAAAAACAAAAATGAAAATAATAGTGTTGTCCTAATAATTCTTGCCCCCAGTGTAAGTATATTTATACATACTTGAGCATGAAGTATAGAGCATTGTGAACATAATGAGCCTGTGTTTTGAGCAGCATACTGCAGGAACTCAGTGGACGGTCAGTGGTATGCCTACGATGACAGCCGTGTTGAGCCGGTGCCTGAGGGGGAAGTGTGCACACGTGGTGCTTATATCCTCTTCTATCAGAGACGAGATGCCATCCCATCCTGGTCAGCTAGCTGCTCTCTACAAGGTGAATGCTCATCTCTTCATCTCTGCCTTAATGTATACCCACACTACCAAGGGCAAACAAGCAGAAAGCATACTCAAGTTTGCATTATCAACAGAATAAAAGAATCAGCTAATGTAGTTTTGTTTAGTAGATCATTTCAGCCTGGTAGGTGTGCAATCTTTTTATGGTTTTCACAATATATACTTAAATTTCTTATACTAAGAAATGTATGATTACATTTTGAAAATCTGCTGTTAAGTTTGTTAGAATGTTCACCACTCAAAATGCAATATTGACTGCTTTTATTTTTACATTTTACTTTACTATATTTTATTTTATTTTTACAATTCCACTCCTCAGATCATGGAAATAGCTAGTAGAGTAACTTTATTTGCTATCTATTTTACGCGAACAAAGTAGGCAATAAGGCATTCTAGACTGTGAATATATACATTAATGTTTTACTGTAATTTTGATCAAATGAATGTAGCCTTGGTGAGCATAAGAGACATCAAAAACATTTTAAAAATATTACCAACCCCATACTTTTCAACGCTAGTGTACTTGCAGCAATGTCAAATGGCAAAGTCACATCCAACCTCTGGGTGGTTCCAAGAGCTTTTCCACACAGCTCTCTTCAACTTCTCTATGAGAACCACATCTTCAGAATCCAAATATAAACACAGAAATGACACAAATGGAATTATATGTATTCAGCACTAGTCCAAAGACTGCCTGGTCACTGTGTAGCCACGACATAACCTTGGTGCCGGAACAAGAACAAAACATTTCCAGGAAGGACAAGGGACAGTCATGGCTTTGAGCTGCTTGTCACAGGGGGCTGTAGACACAAAATTTCACACACACACACACACACACACTTTCTCTTTCTGCTCCAGTGTCTCTGCTGCTGTTCGCCTTCCTTTTCCCTCTCCACTGAAGTTAAATTATATGATACTTCAAAAAATCAAATCTACACAGTCATATCACAAGTCAAAAGATTAGAGTTATATAGCCTAAAGAAATTATTAGTGAAAGTGACGTGACATGTGGGTTCCTAGTTACCCATACTAGGAACTAGTGCTCTGCATTTATCCCATCCTAAGTGCACACACACAGCAGTGAACACACACCCAGAGGTGGGAGAGAGCGCTGTACATTCACTCCCCCCACCTACAATCCCTGCCGGTACGAGACTCAAACCCACAACCTTTGGGTTACAAGTCCAACTCTCTAACCATTAGGCCACGACTTCCACCAAATGGATTATGGGGGAATCCATCAAATTATGATGACTGTATATGTCCACTGAGGGCGTTTTCAATTCATTCTCTATGTGAGGTGAGCGGCAGGTTCACACATCAAAAAGTCAAGCAATTTTCGACTTTATGTAAATGAGAGGTAAAAACGCTGTGTGCCAGTGAATAGATGTTAGATGAATGCAGTGCTGTCCGTCTACGCTTTTTAAAATCTGCCTGTAGTGCTGGTGCATTGCTTAAATGTCATTCTTGCATATTACTAGATTAAATCAGATTTCAATGCCTTATGCACACTTTCTCTGTAGCTATGAGTTAAAAAAAAGTTTGGCACAATTGTAGACCACTCTTAAAGCAGCTTTGTTACATGCAAACTTTTTACACACGTCTTGCAGCGTTTCTTCTACACCAGTGGAAACAAACACTACCATTCGAAAATGTTCATGTTTTTGAAAGAAGTCTCTTATGCTCACCAATACTGCATTTATTTGATCAAAAATACAGTAAAAACACTAATATTATGAAATATAATTTCAATCTGAAATAACTGTTTTCTTTTTAAAGTGTAATTTATTCCTTTGATGTAAAGCTAAATTTTCAGCATCATTACTCCAGTCTTCAGTGTCACATGATCCTTCAGAAATCATTCTAATATGCTGATTTGATATTATTATCAATGTCGAAAACCGTTTTTGCTGCTTAATATTTTTGTGGAAACCGTGATACATTATTCAGGATTCTTTGATTAATAGAAAGTTCAAAAGAACAGAATTTATTTGAAATAGACATTGTTGATGTCTTTCATGTAAAAATGAATACATCCTTGCTTATTTTTTATTTTGTTTAAAGGGTCTTACTGACCCTAAATGTTTTAACAGTAGTGTATGGTTTGAGTGCCGGCTTTGTTTGAACAAACTAAGTGCACTTCACTAAGTGGTAAATGCAATTAAAATGAGTTTGCAATGTTGAAAGATATGCATATTAAATAATGGAAGGACTGAATTTTACAGGTAATTGAGATATTTAGCCATTATGCCTAACAGCATATTTTACAACATTCCAAATTTCCTAAACTAATGTTAAAATATATATATTTTTTTATATATTTATATATTTTCCATAGTGAAGCAAGGCACAATAAATTATTTGCATATTTTGCTATATTTTTGTACATAGCAATTTTAATGTTGTGCATTGTACTGTTAAAATGCAGTGAGCAGTTTTTTAATGATATATGACTATATGATATCTGATTTTTTTATATAATACATTTTGATATGATCAGAGGTGCTGTAATTATCCATGAATTGTCATGCAGCAGATGCCTTAGGTTTCTCTAATGTGATTGTAATTAAAATGGATCTGTTATCAGCAGCTCCCATTGACACACAATAGAAACGAGTTCTGTGAAGTCTGAGTTGAACTGAGTTGAACTCTTTGAACTGTTGTGAGCAGCTTCAAGCAACAGTTCAAAATAAAACAGATTCCACAAACGTGAACCCGAGTTCAGTTAAGCCATCACATTCAGTGTTCGCTGTTCGCAAAGTCACATAATTCACCTCCATATAATGTGCCTCAGGGCATTTATGCATGAACCGTCAAAAACTTTTAAATATGATATATGAAGCTGGATATGTGCTTTGACACATTTTTTTATTTCATTGTGCTTTGTCAATCCTTATATATAATATGAAGCTTTTCAGCTTAACCCACACATATGGTTAAAGAGCAGGTCAAAACTATTCCTTTTTACTTTGGCGTTTATTAATTGATTTCGTTATAGTCATGTTATGTGTATTTGACATTATGCTATTAATATTTTACTTACTGTATTTGTGCTATGGACAGTGTACAGCACTTTGGTCGGCTTTTAGCTGTTTTTAAATGTGCTTTAGAAATAAACTTGAACTTGATATGGGTTTTCGAAAAATATCTTTTTTGCCGTTTGTAACGTAGCTATCCTTCAGTGTAAACAGTCTGAAGAAATGGTCATCAAAAAAGTGCATGATAAATAAAGATATTGTCTCTCAAAAGAAAGAGTCAACTCTGAACCGCCTTAAAGGGGTCATAGGATGCTACATGCACTTTTACAAGTTGTTTGAACTGAAATGTGTGTTGGCAGTGTGTGTACACAACCACCCTATAATGATAAAAATCCACCCAGTGTTTTTTTTTTTATTTGGTTAAATGTTTTCCCCTTTCTCAAATCGAGCCAATCTCAGATCCCTGTCTGTGTGACGTCACACAGACAGGCCCCTCCCACGATAGTTTGATTGACAGTAGCGTTTCAGCACAGACTGGACTGGTGTCTTACCTTAGCTCCGCCCTGAGTGAGCTGTCATCAATCCGCCATTGTTTCCCCGCCGGAGCAGATGTAGACAAGAATGACTCCTAAGCGATTGAGGTGTTCTGTTGTTGGATGTAATAATGAACATAGCAGTCGTCATTTACTCCCGACATCTGAGCCGCTGAAAACGCAGTGGATTACGTTTGTTTCTGAAGGGAATGC